ATAATAACAAAAGGAATCCGCACCTGGCTCTCACCTGTAGATTGAAAAGAAACAACATTACTATAAAGGACTATTGAATATGATAATTGACGTTAATAACCACGTGATGCTGCAGGACAACAAACGGTCACACCTTTCCTCATTGGATTATAACAAAAACAGGAGATATATGACTCTACAATTCTGTTTCCTGATGAAAGATAAGGCTAACCTTGTGAAAGTTTATTGCTGGCTTCTTGCAGAGCCAATATAGATTCAATGTAATGCTGTAAAAAGCATGTTCCAGTGGTGGTTTCAACGGGAAGAGCAACCTGCAAGATGGAGAAGCAATGGTTGAGAATCAGAAATAATTCCAAGCGAGAGGGGGGGAAAAAAAGAAGCTAACTTATATGCCCTTCAGTTTTGCATAAAACATGCATGGCACAGCATTATTAGAAGGTAATAAGTTCATCATGGTCTACAGGACCCAGAGATTAGAAAGCAGGTGAGTGTAATTCTAAGGGCAAAGAATACTGCCAAAGCTATGGATATTATTAGACCATTCGCCTTAGAAGATTACATCAATCAGGGGGCCATGGGCTATGAAGGTCAGCTGAAAAAAGTACAGAGCAAAGTTGCTGGTAATATAACATCATCAGTCATAATACTGCAGTATTGAATAGAATCGACACTTGAGACTGAGTTCATTAGGCACACACACATATCATAGGTGTCATTAGTCCTTATATAGAGCGAGAAGGCATACCTTAATTCCATTGTATCCAAGACGCTCCCCAAGGCCACCTGCCACAAGAACAAATGCAGCTCTTCTGGCTTCCTTCACTCCTGTTTCCTCAAAATTGATGAAGTTCTCATCAGCAAATGTCAAAGTCTCCCCGGTTGGAACCTGCAAAATCATCATCAAATGAAATGAAATATTAAACTAGCCCATTCAGCATTTATTTGATATCAGTATATCAAACTATTAGGACAGCATGCAATGCAATATAGAATGTATGGAAATAGTACTCACAGAAGGTGTGAAGCCGTCGTATGGGTTCTTTCCAGCTTTTGAATCAGCCAACAGTCTTCTAGCGTTTTTAATATATGACGCCAGACCACCGGGATAGCTTGAATTCAGTCGGGCCACCTAAAAAGGAAAAAAAAAAAAAAAAGTAACTTAAGGCAGAGAGCGACGGGAAAAAGCACGGTCCATCCAGTATTACTTAGAGGATAAAACACTTCGGCCACTATATCAGCGAAGAATTTCATAGAAACCTCTTTCAGGATTAGTAGCTCACAATGTTTTTAAAAGGTGTGTGAGTTTTCACCCGAGTTGAAGGATCCGAATTAAATTATGAAATGCACGAGTACCGTCTGATGATCAAGAAGTCCTACCTGCTCAAAAAGTGCTTTCTTTTGGTCGTCATCGACGCCCGGCTCCGCCCAATGTTCAAAAAGATGACTTTGGCCCATCTCCAGCAACATCTTAGCGAGATCAACCTGCATCCACCACCCCAAGCCAAATCAAAACCGTCCCGAGCCAAAAAAAAAAAAATGAAAATCAAAGAAGCCAAGGCATGCATGGTGTGTGTCTGTGTAGGACACCTGTTCGGGCGACAGAAGGTGGAGATTCTTCTGGAGGTTTGGAGCAGAAGTAGCGAATTCGCCATTGATACCGAGCTTGGAGAGCTTGTCAGCGGTGGAATCGAGCGTGGAAGCCATTGAATAAAAACAAGAGTAGAGAAATCGCAGAGGCGGAGGATGGTCAATTCAATTCGAGATCGACTATGAGAAAAGCTAGCAAGGTTGGACACCGAACTAAAACTGACAGAAGTAGTCCTGCTGGAAGCCACGCTTCTGGATTTACGTAAATCTCTCTCTTCTTTTTGTTAACCATTTACGTGAATTAAAATTATTATTATAAGTTGCTGTGAGTTGATGGTCAAATCATTATTATAATTTTATCTGTCATTACTAAATTAAAAACGAACGGAAAATCACAAAAAAATCACTGAAATTAAAAAATTACATAGAAGAACCTATTTATAAAAATTATTTTCAAAACTCATTCTCCAAACCCATACTAATATTGTAATGAATTCTAATTTATAATTTTTCTACTGACTTTTTTTCCAATGTTTCTCTAAATATGAATGCAGTATTAAAGTAATCTTCGATATAAAAAAAAAAAAAAAGGTTCCGTCGGCGAATTTTTTTTTTTTAAAAAAAAGAGAAGTAGTCCTTTTATGGCCTGATGTTACCGGGAAGTACGGTCGTCATAATTATTTAGAGGGTGTTTGGCAAAATCAAAATCACGGTTTCAGAATCATTTTTCGGCAAAACGAGGTAACCTCCTCCATATATTTACTTCGTAATCCGTAAAAACACTTCTAAAACCATGGTTTGGCTTCTATCCAAACACTCCCTTAGTTTAGTTGGGCTCCTGCACTAAAATCAACGAACATATGATTTGGCGAAACCAATAACACCTTTCTGAATTTTTAAATATAAAGCTTATTTTATAATATATTTAAGATTGAAAGAGTAATATTTAATCTAAATAAAAAAGAACTGCCATGAGAATGATTTATGCCCGGGAAATTAACAAGATCTCGCCCCAAGAAAAATAATGACGCGAAAATATTATCCCTTCCTAATTTTATCATATCGCAAGTTTCTTAATTCTATGAATATTCTATCGTTGGGCTGATAATATTCTGTGAGGAGATAATTATATCCTTAAATAGATTTTAATATTTGATACTATTATTGTTGCGTTCTTTTTTTAAGATGGAGGATTTTGTTTTGTTGACTGACGGGGGATGAAATCAACATGTTTTAGAAGTAAATTGATTGATGATTAATGATCCCATAATATTTATCTTTAAATGGATACTTTTTTTTTTTTAAATGATAAGCACATGAAAGTTTAACTTGAAGCTGCCTAGTATACTCCTTCTTCATTGTCTCTTTTAAATTCTCCTTCCCAGCGTTCGAACCAGGCAGCTTCTGTTAAGGGTTTGTTTGGAGTTATATTCAAAAGAGACTTTTGAGCAAGTTCATATAAGTCGAGATAAAATTCTTCTCACGTACTTATTTTATATTTCAAAACCATCTTTAAAAATTATTTATAATTCAATCCAAACAAATTCTCAATCTTTAATAAGAAAAGTTATTTCGATAAATCATTGAAACTCGAAGAAAATTATAAAAATAAGAAAGTACAAAGAGGTTTTTATGAGCGCTGGATAGTATTTTAATTGGTAGTCTCAAGTACAATTGAGTGTTGGCATGTTATTCGCCAAGTCACGTCAGAGATGAAAATGAGCCTTTGCTTTGCATATAATTTAAAAGTAGATAGATTGTATTACTGATAATTCATGGATTTTTCATAAACCTTATATTATCCAAACATATATAGATATAAAATAGATTATTATGTTTATTTAACTATGATGACTTTATCTGATTTCACTAGAAAATTCTCAATCTATCCTTAAATGATGATTTTATTTTCCAAATCTGGATTTGAATAGCCATTAATTAACTAACAGTTATCGGTCGCCTCCATACCTTTGATAAGGATATTGCTTCAATAATATAAATGTTAATTTTTTTAAGCATTTAAAAATAAAATATCTTAAAAATTATAAGAACAAATCCATTATAATACGATAAATAAATGATTATGGCTTATTAAAAGCAATAATCATGGTCATGATACCTTCATACGTATGTCTTCATCCGCATTGTTTTTCATCTGCTAGGATTATTTCGAAACTAAAGCTCTTAAGATGATTAGAAATATAATTTTTTTAATTCTGATTATTTTAAAAAAATCCAAACAAACAAATTAATTTTTGGAAAAAATAATTTTCTTCAAAATAATTATCTAATTAAAAAAAGCCACTCCCACATTAAGATAAATCATAAGAAATTTAAGAACAGATATGTGCCCTAAATTTCAATTAATATTAATATATTTTAAGAGATATAATAATTAAGTTCATTTATAAATAACGTAACTCGGTTTGTAAAAGAAAGGTTTGGCCTGTAAATATTAAATTTTTTTAAATTAGTTACTATTAAATAAATTCGAAGAGCTATTTATATATAATTTGCTTACTTCAAAACTGAGCACTTTTCTTCCAAGAACAGTTTGGAAGTTTGATTTTTAAAGTACGAGAGCACATTAACAAATGAAATTAAAATTAACACCAAAAAAAAAAGTACGAGAGCACTTTTCCACGTAGGATAATGCCCGCACAAGACAAAAATAATGGAATACCCATATGCTAGTGGGAAGACCATATTCCCGGCCCAGAATCATTCCCATTCATCATTGTTCTAAATCACACCATTCAAAATCTCCTGATCTGCTTTGGGCTGCGCACATAATCTGCATTCATTGGAGTGCTTACAGGGAGTGTTTGGATAGAAACCAAACCATGATTTTAGAAGTATTTTTATGGTTTACGAAGTAAATAAGTAAAAGGAATTTGTCTCGTTTTGCGGAAAAGTGCTTCTGAAACCATGGTTTGGAGGTTGCCAAACACCCTATAGTCTCAGACCCACCTCCTAACACATCAGTTAAGTTATTAAATTTATTTTAAAATAAAAAAATCAAATTTAATTATTAATCACATTTGATTGAAGAGTATAAAAAAAAATTAGATCAAACTTTAAATTAAGGAAATCTTAAAAAAATATACCAGCACCTCGTTTAATAACTTATAATAAAATCTCTTCATTCCTTATGAGAAAGTGTTTATTTATAATAGGAATAGAGTGGTACATTGATTTTGATAGTTGGCTTGCCATAATAGCAAGACAGTTTTTATTTTATTTATTTGTTTGTTTATTTGCATTGGCAGCGGTGGCTTTACTTAGCATAGTAATACGACGGATTACGTGTGATATACTGGACAAACAACCCTCCCCACTTGCGAGTGGGTTTTTCAGATGAGAAGATTACAACTCCATCGACCAACAAAAAAAGGAGAATGAAACCTTTTCAGTTCACAGAAATCTCAGAATTGGTCATATTGAAGCAGGTTATTTATATAATATTCATGTTGCTGTACAGTGTAAACACATAGAAGTGCCGGGTGGAGAGCATTGAAAATCAACCAGGCATATAAACTAAGAACAAATAATAAATCGTTAGCTTCACAAATAGTCCCCCTGCCACTTGTCTGGCCGGGGGCTGTCAGACAGGAGATGTCTTGGCCCTAATATCCTTTTTCATTATCAGAACTGGTTTAATGAGTTCATCCTCATCATCCAATACTATGTCTCCAGGTTCACCATCACACAATGTTGATTGCTCCCTTGCTCGTCCCGGAAGTTCAGCAACGTCTTCATCCTCGACATCTAGACTGATATAGTCAGCAAGTTCTCCTTCAAGGCCATCCTTATTTTGTTCCCCTTGCCTTGGAGCTACAACCATCGTCCCAGGTTCAGAAACATCAATCCATAAAGAACCAAAATATCGCCTTTTACAGTTCCTCTGATCCACGCATCTCTTCCTTTTCTTTCCCTTTCCTTGTTTTTGGGGGTGATGAAGTTTGCACTTGCTCCCTTGGGTGCAGCTTCCTGTTGCTTGAAACGTAGGGCAGACATAGGTGTGCTTCTTCCGACACTGAGACCACATAAATGGCACAATCTTAACGCAAAATCACTTGTATATGGGGCAGGAATTGGATGCCTTAGGGGCAGAGTTAGCAACCAATCTAAAGTTTCTAAGAGTAAAGAAAGTAGCTACTATATAAATTATAGGTACGAGATAAATCGTCCATACAATCTTGAACTGCAGGCAAAACTGAATTTCACTCCTAAGGTGTCGCACTCGACTGAAATTCAGTGTGAACATAAACAGACATAGTAACCCCAACGACAATATCAAATCACCAAACTGGAGTTACAAAACCTGTTTCCTCAAAGATGCTAGAGAAATGAAACAATTGCATGTAAAAAGATTGATATGTCTGATTTGAGTGAAAAGAGAAGCTTAACATTCATATTATCCACTAATTTTACTGAAAATTTAACATGATAGCCTAATACCTCATTGCCATCAGCACAATATCCCCGGAGGAATCCTTCACAAACGGATGCCTTAGGGTTCACATTAACATGTCTATAGGGGCAATTTCTATTTGTGCATAAACCTGCCATTCAACTTGTCAGTATAGTAATTTCATGTTAATCACTCAGAAAGAAAAAACTTTCTTCTATGCACCTTGCAAAAAATAAGAGCAATCAGGCATTCTCTCGGGAATAACCTGAAAGGAAAAACAAAACAAAACAAAAACTTAGACATCAACTCTTGACAGACAGATCAGCAAATTGCAGCAGACCACATACAGTCCCTAGGACTTGATATATGACAAAACCTTATGAGTCAATTTGCAGTTGGGAGTGGAGCATAAACCATTCAGAAACTTAGTACAGACAGCAATTTTAGAGGGATCATGAATATAGGGACACTTCCTGTCATCCTTGTTACATTTCCCAAATCTAGTAAAGAATTGACAATACTTCTGCTTCCGAGCCAACCGTTGTCTAGCTGTGTGTAAACTCCACCTAATTTTTTCATTAGCCAATATACGAGTTCGCTTCTTTGGGTCTCTGATAAGCTTATGGCCATTGCCAATTCGGACATACCTGTGAATGTTGGAAGTTATCATTTATATACTATATACACAAAATTGTAAAGATAGTGAAACTATAAGAAGCCATTACCAACTGATTAAAATCAACAAAGAAATTAAAATAAATATAATAAAGCACATACTCATCATTTCCAATCACTAATCTCCTTGGAATGTATGAACTTTTCACATGCAAACCTGGACGGAGAGAAGCAGAGGGTAGGGGCTCATCAGCTACAAAGAGCATTACGTTTTATTAGTCCCAATAAAAATTGCCTTTCTTCTGGGAGAAATATAGCCAAATATTCCATAAAACATGTTGACAGAAAAAAAGAACCAAGGAAAAGAACAATGGAAAACATTAGAAGTTAAAAAAACGTTATAATTCTGAAAATATTACCACCATAGACACCAACAAAAGAAATACAAGAACTAATAATTATAATGCCACCATATGCTGATATTGATGCTTATCAAAATATGTGCATGGGAAAGTTTAAGCCAACTTAGCCACAAGCTATTTTGACACTTGGGATATATGCGTCACCGTTGATATTTTTCCAATGAAAAAACACACCTCTTGGAGAGTCTATCTTAACATGGAGGAGAGCGGACCCTTTGAAGTTGAGGGTCGATGCATTTCCCTGAAGTCTATTTATTCTGGATATTTTCTTTCTTTCTTTTCCCCCCATTTTTAAGTTCAGGGAAATTTATGAGTTTGTATTTCAGAATCCCAAGGCTAACAAGAATTAGTCTATTTCAGAACACCCAAGTCAGTAGAGCTTATTTGACATAAGCTCTTCTTCAATAAGCACATAACGTGTTTATCCATATGGGATCTAAAAACTGATGTATAGCCTCAAGATGCATAAGGGGGCATAGAGAAGGTATCATAATCGATTGTATACACATAAGGTTCTACCAACAAAATGATCATGGTAAAATTGATAAACTTAGTGTTGTTATAACATTCAATCAATAAGCTCAAAACGCGACATACCTTATACAGGTATTATTAAAGGGACCGGAGATGCCATCATTCACAAATGACATTGTTAATGAGAAATCACCAACTTAATATACGAGTAAACAAATCACCAATTTCTCATCTAATATGAACAATTGTCGCTCTAGATCATACTTGCCAAAGGCACATCTTAAAATTACTTGAATCGCATGTCCCAGGTAAATGTATTCTTTTAGGCAATCGTGACACATTAAGAAAAGTAGTGAATATAGGAGGTGAAGGGGATGCAACATCTAATAAACAAATTAAGGCATAAAGGTTGAACACCTGAAATCCTTTGAAGTGTCCTCCCCGAAGAGTCCATTCTGTAACGAACCAACCCAATACGAAATATACGTTCTCCTAATTGACCACCACTTTAAAGTCAGAGTAACACAGAAAATAAAGGAGATGCTATTTTAAAAAGGTGAACACCCATAACATGCATCACAGCAAACATGAAATTCTTGTAGAAAGAATGATTTTCCTACTCTTTGCCCGAGAGCTGATACAAGCACCATCTTTCTGTTCCCTCCTTTTCTTCTCTACAGCAGCAACTGCAAGTGTGGCTTCCTGTAATGATCATAATAATTGTGAGAAGAAAAATCTATTTTACTAGGAAAAACTATACCAAAATTAAAAGGTAAATTTCAATGGGAAAAACCCAATATATCATATGCATCAAAAGCCAAACTAACCTCGTTAACTTTCTTTGAAGACTTCTCAATTGATTTTGACCATTTTAGACTAGATCCGCCAACGCCTAACACCTTGGATTTCCGAAGGGAAAATCCATGGGTTGACCTAGTATAAACAGTATTCCTCTTTCTCGACAGAACCAATTTCTTGCTGAAACAAAAACAGTAATTGACCATTGCAATTGACTATGACTGAGGCAAATAATGTAGCGCAACATAACCATAAACAAAACAGAAAATATTGAGGAACAAACACCACCCAGTACCTGATTGCAGATAACGAATTAGTATTGGAGCTCAAAGCAGGATTATAAATGAAGCTCCTTAAGTATGTTGCTCTTTTCCATGGAAAAAACTGAGGCAGAACTTTCGGATGATGCTGAGAGTCATTATCGTTTTTGGATGAACTTGCACCACAGAGTGTCCACACCAATGAGGCTCTCAAAGGTTTGCATGAACTTCCAACAACTGCATATGAAGTCTCAAGTTAATTGTTTATCTAACCACTATGCAAGAAAACAGGAACTAATAAATGGAAATGCACTGGTCCTGATGCCTCAGCAGAAACAAATTAGAGAATGGTGGCTGAGAATGACAGAAAACATTAGCAAAATTACTCCCGGTTAGTTCAGCAAACAAACACAAAAATGGAGGAGTAAAAAAGAAATTTGAGAACTACTTTGAGGGTCAAAACCCATATAGAACTGAAAAGATGATGTTCCGAAGACCGTGGACTCCTGATCTGAACAGACAATCTAAGACCAAAAGAACATGAAGCCTAAGATAAATCTAGCATGGGCGTATTATCAATCAACTATCGCACAGCCCGGACAGCAAAAAGCAAAAAAATCTAGTGTTGCATCTAAGCTATAATCATATCTACTACAGCCATAAGCACAAAGAAGAGTATTCGGTTCAAGTTACATTCCCTACTCTGGAATTACATAAGCACGGAGATTAATTGATTTGACAACTTGATGAGTTATTCATACATACCCTTTAGTGACCGCCTCTTACCAAACCTCCTGTTGTAACCAGCCTTACGGGCCCTGTGCCTATCAGAGTTTACAGTGGGCATTGCAACTGTCTGGTTGATTTGACTTTCAAATGTAGTCCTAACTAACTGATTGTTGCTCCTCTTGTAGTACCCATCGGAAGAGGCCATCTGGACATTGTCATCAGTAGCAACAGGAAGTTCACAAGAATTTGAAGTTGCAACCAACTGATTTGATTTGCGCTTTACATAGACTATTCTCTTTGAATTCAAAGACACATTCTCATCACGTGCTTCAACTTGGCTCTCCACGTTGTTTGATGGAAAAGTTAGGTTTTCAACAGTTTCATCCGACTTCAGCGCATCATCAGAATTTGGAGCATCACAAGGCTCCGTAAAGTTTCTAGGTTCAGATGCACTATCACGGAAAGCATTGGAAAGGGGTTCTATTAACGAGGAAGATTTATTCTCCTCACATGCTGTTGCCATATGATTAGGTAATTTAGTGTCAACAGGTAGAGGAGGCGTTCTTTGCCTCTCCAGAGAAGCGGGTGTCCATCCTGATTTCAAGAGATTGGTGTGATTTGAGATATCAACCATAATTTCAGATCCAGTGCTCTTATGAGACTCATCAAACCCCAAAGAAGAAGACTGATTAGCAGTGCATTGTGGTGAAGCAGAAACAGAAGTATGTTTCCTTACAAGACTGTTACCTTTACGAATGTAAGAAGTATTTTGAAAGTTCCCCTTCTTTTCTGAAACTGACCTTTTGGGAGGCACAGATCCTGCCAAAGGATTATTTCCTGGTAGAGAACCAGAATTATTACCTGTACGATGCCAAGTTCGAAGTTTTGAAACCTGGGTTGAAAATGCAGATGTCTTTGACTTGGGAAAATTTAAGTAGGATCGACCCTTGAAAGTAGTAGGAATGGCAGGACCCGAGTGATTTTTGCCATAATTTAGCTCTGCACAGGAGGAATTCAGTCCTTGAGTCATAACTCTGGAATCAACTTGCAAAGGTTGAGGCATCATCTTCCTTGTGATCAAGTTATCACTTCTGGCTGCAGGACTTGACTTTATATTCTCTATAGTGTTCTGTGAATATGATGTACAAGCAGCTAAGTCACAATCCTGTTCAACCTTAGATGTGCTATCCGCATCATTTTCATCCCCTTGAATGCTTTCATTTTGGATTGTTTGACAATCTGAAGTCCTACTGTCAAGTATGTCCAGCATGGTCCCCGGAGAAAGTATATCTGATACTGTACTGCAGTCGCTTGTTACAGCATCAGTATCAGCTGGGCAGGACAAAGATTGATGTTCAAGAGGTAAATCATCCTTTGTTTGAGGATCAATGGATTTCATATCAGCACTCGGAGATCTTTCAACGAATTCTCTGGACTCAAATTTTTCAACATCCTTTATATCAATCTTCTCTCTCTCAGTATTTCCAGAAACCAGAATGTTCTTTAGAAAGTTGTTCACAGGCACAACAGGGAGAGAATTTTCTTTCTGCTCATTTTCCAACAATGGAAACTGATCGTTTGGAATAGCCACATCCTCATGCAAATGACAGTTGATGGCTGGGTGCTGCAACTGGGAGCATTCAAATTTTGTAATATTTGTATTTGCATCCATAGACCCAAAAGATTCTCCAAACAAGCTATTCTTGTACAATTTAGCACTACTCTCAGGATAAGGCAGGGATAGAGAAGCAGAAGGTTTAACCATGCTAGAAAATTCGACCTCTTTCTGGTGCGTGTTGTTATCACTAATACTAATAGGAACTTCTGCACAAGATGTGGCAACCACAATTGCATCACAAAGTTCAGCTTGCAATAAAGTGACATTCATGTGACTACTAGTTTTAAACATTGGTGAAGTCCTATTTGCGCTGTTACTGCCACTATGTCCAAAGTAAACTTCCGTTTCTGAAACCTCCCCTTTCCCATGTAAAACAGTAACCCCACCTGTGCTGGATTGTAAGCAAAAATCTGAGCTTTGAACATATGGATTTAAAACTTCTGACACACTTGAATTTTTTGACAAACTTAAGGTTGCATGCACATTTGCAAGGCTAACCGTATGCATAGGCTCTGGAGATATGCCCCCGAAATCTGAACTTGAAAAATTTAAATGTGTCTCAACTTTTCTTTTTTTAGACATATTTGCATCTCCTTCAGCATATCTAACCAAAGAATTAGCATTTGGAGACTGTTCAGTGGTACAATTCCCAGGAGATGCAGTGACATCCACAGGGGATGCCTCCTTTCCAGAATCTTTGACAATAACACTATGGGGAGTCATGATATTCTCTTCTGAATTAGTGAGGCTGTTATCAGAAACATGAATTGGTAATCTTGAAGGTTTTGGGCATTCTTGACCATCTGAAATCCTAGTTTCCACAGAACTTGAAAGACTATCCATTTGACTATCCATTCCACCACTTGGCACGGGGGAGCAAGTCTCTGGGTTTTCTTCCAAAATAACATTTTCAGATAAAGTAAGGGCTTTAGTTTTGCAATCTTCCTTGCCATCATTTTCAAAATCAGAACCTGTAATGTTCTTTTGTGCATTACCAGTAAGATCATTATAACTCAAGCAAGCCAGACTAACATCAGCAGAATTACATGTGTTTATAACATCTGTATTGATTACACTCTCAGCCAATGCTGACAGTCTGCTGTTCTTGTCATCTTCTACCTGAAACTGATTATCTAAATATTGCACATTAGAATAGTGGTGAGGTGATAGGGAGCTTCATTCTGACAAAGTTGCATATTAACATCATCACCATTATTAATGTCAGCAAATGTAATTCTATTTGGTGACTTAGCGTCAGAAGCCTTGTCATTATTTGGACTACCACGCAAGCCATGGACAAAATCATCTGCCTTCGGACAATCAAAATCATTCTTTACATCTTTAATGCTAAAAGCACCCAAAGAAGTATTAGAAATGTTTTCACTTCTCTCAATTCTATCCACTTGCCCTATATCAGCCTTATCATCAGCCTCATGCTCCCGTGAACTGGCATTTGGCCCTGTACTAGGCAGAAGTGTATCTCCCTTTCTACTATCAGGCAGCAGATGTCCTCCCTCTGGAGAAGGCAAATTATGTGGCACCTTGTCGACAGCAGTGATTTTCTCCTTTAAAGAAGTTTCAGTTTTGTCAGATCCAGAGGTAGATAAAGGATTAAAACTATCAGCTTTCACAGTTCCGTTAGGCATATTTGATGACATAGAATTTGAGACATTTAATTTAGGATTCGAAACAACTTTCTTCACCACTTTCTTTACAATTTTTTTCTTCTTGGCTACCCTTGGATGTGTTTTAACAGAACAAGAGTTGGTAATTTCATGAGAAACAATTCCCTTAGGGGTTTGAGCCCCCTCATTTTTCACATCACAATTAGTAGGTACACCGGCACAACGCCGAGAACAACTGTCAGAGACCTTCTTCTGTAAGTTAAACTCCTTGCTTGAACTAGGGATGCAATTCACCTTGCAAGGTGACCCACCTAAGTTTACAGCAGCCATAGATGGTTTGGCAGGTTTTAAACCAGGAGAATCACTATCAGAGACCAGACTATTCTTTCCCTTTTCTGCAGGAACAAAATCTGTATCAGAAACAGAGGTGATATCGACATCAGAAATTGCAGAACTTGAAGGTGCCACAATTGCCTTAGCCACCAGAGAATTTGATTTAAAAGAAATATCAAGCTCAACAGGACTTCTTTCTCTCTCTTCTGCTTTGACCCCATAACCTGAATACTCAAATTGATCTTTCCCTCTAAAGGAATTAGAGTTTGTGTCATCACCATGGCTGGTATATTGTAACTGTTCAATCTCACGGTTCTTGTGATTTGGTTTTACCATTTGAATTCTAAGAAGTGCGCTCTTTTTCTGAATTTGTTTCTTTGGAGCCCGACTAAATTCATGACCAGATTCCCTGTTCCCTCTATTATTGTATCTACCCAATTCTGAACCATAATACTTCCGGAGGTTAGACGAATACCATCACCACCGTTCTCGTTGTTTACCAGTTCAAAAGATGAACTGTGTGGGTCTCTGGGGCCCTTCCTATCATTTACCCACCTCTTGCTATCACCAAGTCCATCTCTTCTAGTACCCCTAGATATTTCGTTGTCCCGTTCCACGCCGTGATGCACATAATCGCCATTCTTGGAATCAAGATCCCTTGATAATGTACTCTGACTAGACATGATTCCGAAGTCTCCCGAAGATGCATGGAGATTTGATCCAGAATCCCTGCGGCGATGATATTTCTCATCACCTCTACCCCACGCAAATTCTTCCCTTGTCTTGACTTCATACCTATCAATGTGATCAACTCTTCCCCTCGAGTTGCCCTCTGAATTATACCTAACTTTATCAACAGGCGGATATGGCGCGGCTATTTTGTGATTCAATGGGTGCTGATGATACAATTGCCGGTCAAAGTCAATTGGAGGGTAAGGCCTCGACGGCCGATTATCTGACACAACCCTCAGCGGGTTCCAACCACCGATGCGGTTATCGTTATTGCGATAATCGAAATCAGGAAGACTATGGCGCGGACGGTCATCATCGATGATCATCCGATTTGAAACCCTCTGCGAATGTGTGAAATCGTGAGGGTGGCTAGAAGATACAGGGCGTTCTTCTTCAACCGGACGGTTGGCATAGTTTGGAGCCTTGAAAGAAAACTGGGATTGATGAGGAGGATTATAGGGGTGAGGATGCGTTGGAGGAGTGTTGCGCACGGTTCGATAGGAAAGAGAAGGAGGAGGGGGTGGGGTGGAAGAGTTGGTGCCTGCGGCGGTGGCGGCGGAGGAAGTTGGTGAGGGCGCAGACAGGGATCTTCGGGGAACTGTGAATGGCGTGGGTGATTAGGGGGAAGAGGAGCGTACCTTGCATGCTGATTCTGATGCTGGTGCTGGTGATGGAAGTGGGATGAGTGATCCATGGATGAAATCCAGAGAATTGGGGATCTAAGCTTCCACTGCGTGCAAGTAGGACTCGTGTTCCTCTTGAGAATCTGCAGGCGGAGCCTGCAAGTAAACTAGTTTTGGTAAAGGTTCGGCTGAATGTTAACGAGGTAGCCGCGTTTGACTTGGAACCATTGATTCTCACTTCTCACATTATTTGAACTGGCACAGGCAGGCCGGTACCACTGAAACTGGATAACATGCAATCCATGTTTGCTTGGCCCATATCAAATCCTTCGTTTTTTTTTGGCCAGCCATATCAAATCAAATTTAATCAAAGATAATTTCTTTTGCCAACCTAATCAAAGATAAATTATAACTTGCAGGATGAATGTTATATCCTAAAAGATAAATATTCTTGTTACTTGTGATAGCGAATATACAATTTTCTGGCAGAGAAAATATAAATAGTTTAAAATGTCTGTTTCATATATTTTACATTTTAAAATTGTATTACAAAAATGATGCAATTTAAATTGAAATATATTCATGTGTATAGACTAACGGATATGCAACACTATGGCAAAAGAATTTAGCTATTTATAATGTCTGTTTAGTATATTTCAAATTTCAAAATTGTATTATAAATATGATTTATTTTAAATTTAAGTTTATATTTATAATACTTATTTATCAATAGACGGAAAAATTCTTGCGTGCTCTCGGTGCACCACGGCATTTGTGCACTGTAAGGATGACATATCAAATTTTTTCTATCTTATGTGTTATCACTATTTCTGTCATTATTCATGTTGCCTGACAATAATCTCTCTCTCTCTTTCTCACGTGCATCCATTTTTCAAAACCCCTCTCCACTTGCTTTTCCTCTTCCCGATGATGCCACCCCGCCATGTTTTGCCAAAAAATTTCATGAGTTCTGGCTATATAATACTGATGCACAATCTAGAACCAAAAGCAACTTTTCCTCATCAAGAAATTCATTTTTTTCTTTGGCAACATCGTTTTTTTTTTTAGTGGATTCTTTGGCAACATCTTGATATAAAGGAATATTCATCGAAACAAGTAATTTGAAAATTTTATCTTTCAACCTCTATGATATTTCACCATCTTTTTATTGGCAACTATTACAGGATAACTTAAAAAACTTAAAAGTCGAAGCTTCACACCTTGAGACGTGACGCCACGAACCAGACTACAGTACAGCTAAGTCTTGCAGCGAAAGATTAAAGAGGACAATGTCATCTTGAAGTGGATCCATCTTCCAGCAAAATCTTCAACCCAATGACATTTTGGATGAAATATTCGACCACTAGCTTCTTGCGGCCGACTTCCATCTTGGAAATGAGTGATGTGGTGTTTGAAGTTGGGAGAAAGGATACAGACTTATGTGTTATATATCTCTTTTTTACCAATACAGTTCTCTGTTCCAACTCTCCAAAGTTCCATTTCGCCGGAGACTGCATTTTATTCCGCCACAAGATCTCTTCACGACGACCGGCGTTGGTTAGATCTTAATTGCTCTTCTCTTCCCACTTTCATTTTCACAAGATGACGAGAGGATTAGACGAGGGAAAATTTTGTTGGAAAGATTAGGTCGTTTTGGTTCTGGGTTGTGCATAAACATTGCAGCCAAAACTCATGAAAATTTTCGACAGACCATGGCGGGGTGCCTTCATCGGGAAGAAGAGAAGGAAGTGGAGGGGAGTTTTGAAAAATTGATGCACTTTCTCCTATAGACATCCTTTCTTTTCTTCCCTGGGTCGGTGTAACCAAAAGATTCAAATTACGACATCTGTCTTTTTAAAAAGTTATTTTTAACTAGAAAAAATCAATATTTGAAAAACAAGTTAATCTGTGTAGCTGATTCTTCAAGGCATTCTTTTAAGAAATTAAAATAAATTAAACATATATTATATTTACTTATTAATAAATGTTATGTTATATTTTACTTTATTATCTTTGCCAGTATTTACTTATCAATAAAATAAACCATTTGAATCCTAAAATAGCCAACGACTTCCATCCATCAATTTGCGACATGCGAGAAAAAGTGAAGAATGCAAGAAAGGAGATATTAAGTGCATGTTTGGAATGGTTATTAGATTAGATTAAAACCCAAAAAATTAGTTACCATCAGACACAAAATTACTCTTAGCCTTATTGATCAGCATATATAGCTAGTTCATCTTTTACACTTTTACCATTACAACTTTATCCGATAGACAAGTATTAAAACCGATACAATTTCCAGTAGACTACAACCAAAAAGGAAAATAGTCCAAAATTTTTAGACTAGCTTTCCTGACTGTTAAGGGAAGGAGGAGGGTACATTAACAACCTCCCATCCTAGACCCGTTTATGAAACCCCATGGAGGATGCAGAGGCAAATAGAAGAGGCAAGTAAATTTTATCTACAAATCCATCAGCTAAGAGGACAGTTTCTTCCGGCAATTAACCAGTAAGTTTGGTCAATCAAAGCTTGATGAGCGGCTCCACCTGCCTTTCAAGTAATCCTCTAACGAGACATTTTGCTCAATACTGCACATGGAGAGCGAGTCATCCTCCACATCAAGGAATGCTAGATTCAGATGTGACTGTAAATTAGCAGGTGGACAAGCTTCATCGTCGTGTGTTTCTAATGCCTTAGAAGCGTTAGCTTCTAACCTTGCCCACTTCATCACATCAGCGTCACCTTGAAGGAGCTTTGTAATCTGCGGTCCAAAATAATATGCATGTTGAATTTAATACACCGAAGACGAGTGAGAATATTACACCGCGTTCAAACAAGAGAATAAAGACAAGGAATCAGATATGCATATTACAATTGTAGAACCGCATGATGCAGGAAAAGCAAGATAAATAAAGTCCGGTCGTTTTCCAGCCAAAAAGAATGGGGGGAAAAGGTCCCCATCGGATCACTTACAAGGATCATTTGAGGCCTGGCTCTCGGAGCACGTCTGATGCAGAGCGACGCTGCCAAGACCATCCTCTCCATCTGGTCCTGATCGTAGTTACTACCCAGACTTGGATCTAATAATTGTGCGACTTTTCCACTATTCAGAATTGGACTTGCCTGAAAAATGATTTAAGAGAAGAAGTTATTGGACCACAACATATGATGATGAAGTAAAGGAGCAGAGGCTAGAATTAGGATTGGATAGACATACCCACATGACGAGGCTCTCTTGACCCTTAGGATAATCACCGCTTATGGGCTTTCTTCCTGTTAGAAGCTCGAGGAGTACGACTCCAAATGCGTAGACATCAATCTTAGCATTTACTTTGCCATACATGAAGTACTCGGGAGCCAAGTAGCTATAAAAACATGTAAACTCAGAAGTTTAGGACCACTTCAAGAGTATTTCTCCCTAACGCAAATAATAAGTTTATGGATAAGGTGAAGAATGTAGGAGTTGAAGGTACAAACCCAAAGGTCCCAGCAACGTCTGTGCAAGTTATATGAGATGATGAGGTTGATGCCCATTTAGCAAGCCCAAAATCAGATAGCTGTAGAAAATTAAGCAGAAAAATTGAAGATTCACCAATGTAAACAATTAAAAATTTATGGGAATCCATCTAACGGAAGGAAAATTACCTGGGGTTCAAAATCCTCAGATAATAATACATTCGATGACTTCACGTCCCTGTGAATCACACGTTGAACATCTCTATTATGCAGATAATCCAGAGCCTCAGCAACACCAACTGCCACCTTATACCTCTCGGTCCAACCAAACCAAGTGGATTTTTCTTGCTCCCTATTTTGACACGAACAACAAGATGTAAATAAGAAGTTAACAAGACCATGAAATGTAATTAGAGATGGGTGACGGTGTACCATGAAGAATCTCTTCAAGGCTTCCTCTTGATAAGAAATCATACACCAAAAGAAGATTGCCGTCCTCAATGCAGAATCCCAGGAGAGAAATAATGTTTTTGTGATGCAAGGTAGTGATAATTTCTATCTCCAAAAGGAACTCCTTTAAAACATCATCAGAGGGCTTTAAGATCTTAACTGCTAGTTCCTTACCATCAGGAAGATAGCC